CCCGTTACCGACAACTCACTGACGCAGAGATGGCGTACCGCCGTGAGAAGGGACTCTGTTTTAATTTGATCAAATTCACGCTCACATCGTTGCCCAACTCGTATTCTTCTTTTCCTTGCTGAAGAGACTGACCCTGTTGGGGAAGTTGACTCTGAATTTGCCTCTTTAACATTGGGCCATAGCGAGTCGGGGACAAGTGTCGACAACCCAGATCAGTCAGCCCAAATCAGTCTTCATGCCCTTGTTGGCATTGGGGCTCCTGAAATGTTGCGACTTATGTGCCAAATTGGGCCTCATCAGATCAGTGTCTTAGTGGATGGGGGCAGTACCCACAATTTTGTTCAAAAGAAAGTAGCTCAGTTATTAGGCTTGGCCTATTTCCCTTCACCAACTTCGAAGGTTTTAGTTAACAACAAAGAGGAACTCACATGTGCTCATGTGTGTCAAGGGATAGATCTCTCTTTAAGGTCATTCATTCACATTGGATTTATATGTCCTGGACATGGGGGGTGCCGACGTGGTCTTAGGAGCCCAATGGTTGAAGCAGTCAGGGCCTATTCTAATGGACTATCAAGCTCTCACCATGAAATTCGTTTTCAATGATTCCATTATTGAATTGTGAGGCGATTCGGGATTGAAGCTCATTCCAGTTTCCATTCATCAATTAAAGCGAGTTGTCCGCACCGATCCATCGACCCAATTATTTTCCCTCTTGGTTCGTTCATCTCATCCTAATCCTCAAGTACAACATCTGCTTCACAAGTATTCTACACTCTTCTCTAAACCATGCCATCTCCCCCCCTCAAGAGCTACAAATCATGCCATTCCCTTATTTTCTCACGCCCAACCGGTCAATGTGCGACCCTATAAATACCCTCATGCTCAAAAATTCGAAATTGAGCGTCAGGTTTCAGCCAAGCACCAGCCCTTTCTCATCTCCAGTCTTTCTTTTGAAAAAGAAGGATGGTTCTTGGCGCATGTGTGTTGATTATCGAGCATTGAATGCAATAATGGTTAAGGATCGCTTTCCTCTCCCAACAATGGACGAGCTTTTGGATGAATTGGGCTCTGCTTGTTGTTTTTCCAAGTTGGACCTCACTTCTGGGTTCCATCAGATTAGATTACAGCCCGACTACGTTCACAAAACAGCCACATAAGTGTTCCTTCTTCTAATCGCAAATTACTTATCTAGGGCATATTGTGGCTAATGGGGGTATGTCTCCTGATCCGACGAAGATACAAGCCATGGTTCAATGGCCTACTCTAACCTGCGTTAAAGGGTTACGTGGTTTCTTGGGGCTCACTGGATTTTACCGGAAGTTTGTTCAAAACTATGCTGCCATTGATTTGCCTCTCATGGATTTACTCAAGAAGGGCAATTTTCAATGGTCTCCAGCGGCTAAATCAGCCTTTGACGCTTTGAAATCAGCCATGACGAGTACCTCTGTTCTCGCGCTCCCAGAATTTTCTAAATCATTCTACATCCAGATGGACGCATCGGGTTCGGCCATGGGGGCCGTTCTACTTCAGGAGAATCATCCAATAGCTTTTTATAGCAAGGTTTTTTGTCCTCGCTTGTCTAAGCCATCACGAGCGCGATGAAGCGGTGGCGTCAGTATTTATTGGGACATTCATTCATCATCCGAACGGATCAACAAAGTTTGCGTGAGCTTTTAACTCAAGTAACATTACTTGGTGAAATTATTGGGCTATGATTATGAGATTCAATACAAACTGGGAAAACTGAATGTTGTGGCCGACGCTTTATCACGTTCTCTAGGCTCGTCTCAAGCTACTCTTTTCACACTAACTACCCTTTAGTTCGTATTCTTACGAGAATTGAAAGCTTCCTTGCTCACTGATCCTGAATTCATATTAATACGTGATAAGTTTCTTGTTGATCTGAAAGAAGCGACCTCCACCTTCAAGAATGGAGTGGCTCCTCAGTTCAGAAGTGGCAGCGAAATGGAGAATGGATGGAGATATTCTGGTGCTTTCAAGGTGTTCGATGAAATGTCTGGCAGAATTTTGGATGTGGTGCGAAGTGAGTTCTAACTCAGACGACCTTCCAAAGGGGAAGGGAGCTAGAGGGAGACAAGCTAAATCAGCTATCAGCAATGAACTTGAGAGAATGGCTAGATTCAGCAGCATTTCATTATCAAACTCAAGTTAAGTTCTACAAAAGATGAAGCTCTCTTTTATAGGAGAAGAGAAGTTGTGAATCATGCAAAGGAAACTACTGAATCTGCTAATTACATGTGTTGAAAACTAATGAATGTGAGCTGCATTTTTCACGTGGGAAGCATGGAGAAAGTGCTACAAATGAAGAAGCCTCACGGTTTGGCTTGTGTTCCACGTGAGAAACATGTAAAGTGTGCTTCAAAGTAAAGAAGAGCCACGACTGATGTGTTGCACATGGAAAGTGTGGAAAACATGCTTCATGGCTGGCTGTAACACACATTCCTACTTGCTTCCTTTGTTTCCTCTTTGCTTGGCAACTCTCCTATGAACTTTTCAACCTTTATTATCCTACAAAACAGTGTAAATGGAATTAGTTAAAGAGAACATGCTAAGACTTAGAAAGAAAAGATTAAGTCCTTTATTGAACTTTCCTTTCTTGGTCTTAGAGTGAAGTTGATACTTCTTTGATGGGAAGTCCCTAAAGGGGTTGCCATCATGATCCCTATTCCAATCCTTTACTTCGATTTTAGTAAGGGCTGTTATTGTACAAGGGCAGGACCTGGCTTAGTAACACATCTCAAATTGTGCCATTGTTATTGCGGGAGTTCCATGAAAC